CAGGCATAAGTCTGCCTCTGGCCACTCATTTCAGGCAGCTTTGTCCTCCTCTCCTGCTATATACATGTTACCGTTTTCAAAATCCTCTTAGCTATGGGAAACAACACCCTCCAGGCTAGAGACCTACCACACTGAAGGTTTGGCGGCTGTGGATGTTGCAGTTCGACAGCTTTTTTTCCAAGTTGATTATCCAATTTAATGGCAGTGCTTGTTTCCCTGCAAATGTGCCACCAAACAATTACACCAATTACTATGTTGAGCTAACAACTATGCTAAGCTAATGATGTCCATGGCAATTAGGATTGGTTTAGGCAAATACAAAAACAACCCAGAGCATTTTTAAAATGTATTCTATAGCAGAATGACAATTAAATAACCCTTAGACTCTGGTGTACTACAGAATGGGGTGGCTAAATGAAAATATTTCCATATCAACATAAACCTGGTGTTAACTCCACAGACCTGTGTTTTTCAAATAATTGTAGCTGTCAGACAAAACAATGATTCTATCTGATGAAGAAAACAAGACAAAAAATACATTTAAAAAAATGTATTTCAAAACCCGACTTGAAAGTAAAACCGCATCAGCAGACCAACAGCACACATTTTTTTGTGTGTTAGGACATTGATAAAAAATAAATAAAAAATAAATAAATAAGCCACCAAAGTTCAAACTTGAAATAATCCCTAATAGTTGTCATTAACTTTTTTTTTTACAATTACCAAAAAATGATTAGAAAATATTTTCTTTATTTTATTCACTTTATTTTATTCAGAGTATGGTATTGATTCACTTTAATACTATCCTGTACACTGTAAAGAAATTAGCTTTCTAACAAATGCTGGCCTAAAATTTGACCTCATTTTTTGTATGCACGTTAAGTTGCTAATATTTCCAAGGAGCCTTTATTTCCAATAAAGGTCAAATCCATGCTGGAATTTGGAAATGTGTGAAAGGTCTGGAGGTAAAGGCCAAAGATGACTTGGTCTAATATCCAGGACATGACAAATCCAGTATCTGGCTAAAATGTAAAACAACAGCTGTTGAAGGTCAAGGTTATCGAATCAATAGGAGCCCCAAGATATTTAATGTATCACTGGGATATGTCAAACTTTATGTCACAGAAATACCACGATGAGCGCTGACTTCTCATTTTTCAGTTCTAAGTTGTACTGGGCTTGAAGCTACCTATTGACAACTGTCAGGTCTTTACGAGAAGTAAGAATGCCCCCTCACCGCAGTTGTTTTGATTCATCTGATAGTCAAAGTTACCATACTGCAAAACTGTGATGGACATTGAAGAAGGGTGGGTGACAGTGCAATCAGGTAACATGTTTCCATTGGCTGAGAAGTTAGGTGCCATGGTAAAGTTGGTACAGCTCTAAGAATCTGTATCTTGCTTCTGTCGTCATGGGCAATGTGAAAACACTGTAAATAAAAGCCCTAGTGAGGAATCAAGCGTACTGCTTCACAGAGATATGGCTATAGGTAAAAAGTCCAGATTCCATCACTACCTTTGACAGTTGACAGACAGTTTGGGTAGGCATGAATAAATTATAGGGTGATATTAACTATTCACAACAAATGGTACCATTATGAAGGACTGTTTCTGCAGCACGCATGGATCTGTTAGCGGTGGGAAAACAGCCATACCAAGGTGTGTCACAAAAGTTTCAAGACTGGTGTCACAAAAGATACAGTCAAGGAAAGAATTATTAGGCCACCCTTGTTTTCTTCAATTTCGTGTTTGCTTTAATGCCTGGTACAACTACAGATACATTTGTTTGGACAAATATAATGAAAACAAAAGTAGCTCATAAGAGTTTAATTTAAGAGCTGACATTGGCCATTTCCCATGGTTTTCTTGATAATAACCAGAATCACTTAAGTTCTTACATCAATGGCTATGGCATTGTACTGCCAAAAACAGTGCTTTTAGGCATTCCATGTTTTCTTTTCTATCTGTTTTAGTCACATGATACACACAGGAGTTAGTGCTTGATTGCATAACCATTGTTTTTGATGACTGTAGCCACGCGTCTTGCTCTCCACCAACTTCTGACATTGTTCTGCTGTCACAGCAGCCCATTCCTGTTGCACAAATTCAAACCAATTTGCTCTGTTTTGGGGATTGTGGTTCTCCAGTTTGCCTTTGATGGTTTTCCACAGGTTTTCAACTGGATCTTGATCTGGTGATTGAGCAGGCCAAGGCATGGTACCAATGTTCTGGTTCTCCATCCAGGCTTTAACTGACCTTGCCATGTGGCAAGGGGCATTGTCTTGTTGGAAAATCCAGTCATTGGAGGCAGGAAAGAGTTTTCCAGCTGATGGAAGAAGACTGTTTTCAAGAGTAGCCCTGTACATGACCTGGTTCATTCGCCCTTCACACAAGTGTATTTGCCCTGTTCCACCCATACAGAAACAACCCCAGATGGTCACTGATCCACCCCCATGTTTTACTGTAGAGGCAAGACAGTCTGGTTTGTAGGCTTCTCCAGGCCTCCTCCTAACCAGTAAGTCGGCTGCAGTGGGCATCAACTGAAAATTGGATTCATCACTGAAGAGAACCTTAGCCCAATCATCAACAGTCCAATCCTTGTGACCCCCAGCAAAGAGTAACCAGGCTTTCCTCTGCCTTCGGTTGATGAAGGGCTTCTTCCGTGCCCTGTGTGACTTCAGACCAGCTTCAAGAAGTCGGTTTCGAACTGTCCTTGCCAAACAAGTCACATTTCTCGACAGTGCCCTCTCATTTTAATGTCCCTGGAGGTCTGACGATGATTCTTGACACAGGAACAGATGAGTGCACCGTCATCTCATGGGGTAGAAAGACGTTTCCTGCCATGACCAGCTAGCAATTTGGTAGCACTATGTTCAGCTTGTTTTTTCTTGGTGTAATGAACGGCTGTCTTGGAGATCTTCAGTTTTTTTCACTACTAGTCTCTCACTCAGGCCAATTTCCAGCAGTGCCAAGATGGCTGCCTTTGTGGCTTCACATGATTCTTTTGTTTTAGGCATTATGTGAGAGCTGACAACTTCTGAGTTGTGCTTGAATGCAAGCAGGAAACCACTCTAGGCCTTTGCATGTGTAGTGCTGCTTATGAAATGAAATGGCCTCTTATATACCCTGGGGATGCAATTAAGCTTAAGCATGTTAAACACAACATCAAGTATTATGCAATCAGCTGCATTTTTTTGTCGTGTTCATTGTATTCTTCAGGTAATATACCTATAGTGATACCAGACACTAAAATGAACAAAAAAATTGAAGAAAACAAGGTTGGTCTAATCATTTTTTCTATGACTGTATATTTCAAACCCAAACTACAAACTACGAGTTTTCCCCTTCAGATGTTCAACCAGCATGTCTACAAAGAGATCCTGCGGCATTTGCTTCGTTCAGTGCGCAAGAAGAGGCAAGAGTTGTGGCAAGACAAGTCATGACTGCTGCACTATGACAATGCGCCTGCTCACAATACCCTGAGCATCCAACAGTTCCTGGCTGAGAAGAACATCACCATGCTGGAGCAACCTCCCTACTCACCCAACCTGGCTCTGTGTGATCTTTTTCCTCTTCCCCAAGCTCAAGGGGGTCATCAAGGGGACACGTTTTGAAGACGTGGATGACATCAAGATGGCTATGACGACGGAGCTACGGAGGATCCCGGAAGAATCCTTCCAGGAGTGCATGGCGGCATGGCAGAGAAGGCTGGGAAAGTGTGTGAGACTCCAGGGGGATTACTTCGAAGTGGAAAACTTGTAGTTTGTAATTTGGATTTGAAAAAGAACTTTTGTGACACCAGTCCTTGAACTTTTCTGACACACCTCGTATATACCACAAGTCGTTTCACATGCCAGCTACTTTGGCATCATCCACACTGTTACCATAACACTTTAGACTATAAACCTTAGTTCTTTCTTCATAACCTCCACAGATGTAAATCATGTGATACTGGACAAGACTCTTCTCAAGCTTTCTGCTGAAGTTGTATAACATCACAGCTTCCACAACTTTAGGTAACTGTTACAAAGCAAATTATCTGCAGCGATTAATAAAGTTTTATAATTCTTACTTCTTCTGGAGCAGCATATGAGACAGAACTTTGTGCTGCAAACACACTGACACTCTACAAAAGACAGCCATGCAAGGTTTAGCGGAGTTCATTAAGCTGGATTTACGGTCTGTAAACTTCATTTGGAATTGTCGAATAGCATTGGAAATCCCCTTCCTTTAACACCTTTCCAGCGTCACATAGAGGACATCTATGTCACCTATTGTTTGGTAATTCTGCCTCAATTCACCAAATATCTCATGCCAACCATCTTCTGTTTGACTGATTTTTATTTAAAGTGCTGAATATTGGTTGAGTGGATCATGTGTAAAATAAAGGGTCATAGTAAGAATTATTTTTTTTTTATTAAAAAATTCCAGAGGAGGGGTGGGGTTGCATTGTTTTCTTCACGCCAAGCTGTGGAGCAATGTTTGAAGTGCCATAACTTGAGTAGCTAATGTAGCTGGAGTCCTGAAATTTTGCAGGCTCACTGATATGTACATATGGTCTTCAACCATATAACCCTGCTTTGATAATAATACAAATAAGTCATATGATGGTGTAAATGTAGTCAAAAAATGTTCATGTTTTTTTCTATTCAGGTGTTCCATGAACCATAAAACATTTATTTTTTACCTGAAGAGGCAGAATATTTTCTCCTGTGATTACCAAGAGAAGCTTTAAAATTACAGAGTATGGTGCCAGTCAGAGGCTTACTTTCTAAGAAAAAGAAATGAAATGACATTTTTTGCATTTATGGTCAATATTAGGACAATCACATGTATGTCAGGTGAAACTACTCCAAAAGCTGTCCCAACTGGAAGAGTATTATAGTATTTTACTGGGCGAAAAGGAAACTCCTAGTGCACCATATGAAGATACTGTATGTTGTTTTTCCTTTAATTTGTCATTGGTCTGTATCTTGCGCTGCATTTACTTTTGGCACATACCTCATTCTGGAGCTCATCATCACACCTTTGTGAGGCCAGCATCTCAAACAGGGAGGTGCACAGCTCCTCTGGGTTGGATGAAATCATGTTCCCTCCGCTCAGATACTTCTCCACTTCTGTCTGAAGGATTGATCCATCCCCAGAGCTCAGAGATCTCCCTGAGCTGGGCACATCTTCCTCACTGGTGACCTTTTTCCCACTCTGTTGGCTGTTGAGGAAATTGATGAAGTCTAGGCTCGCACTCTCATCATAGATACTAGAGCAGGTCAGGTCCTCCAGTGGGTCCAGTGTGTAGCAATCATATGAAAAGGCAATGTTGCGTCCAAAACCCAAGCCTCGCTGGTTGTGACGGGAGCTCTGGGTCTGGATAAAGTCTTCAATTTGGGAACCACCGAGTGGAGCCACCAGCCGAGCCACACAGGCACAGGAGGCTTCAGCTGCTGATGATGGAAAGGGGCCAAACATCTGTTTTATGGCCCTGGTCTCCTCTGTGCCCACATGGTCTTTGTTGTGGAACGTCTCAAACAGAAAGACAGCTGCACTTTCAATAGCTTCCTGACCATGCTCAGTACCCACTGTTAAAAGAAGCACAACACAATTACACGATTATGTCAAGATTTTAGTGGCACAGTGAAGGAGAACTTAATAATGTGTGGACATGAAAAACATATTCAGGGAGCCTCCCTCAAGTCCATTTACTCAAATACTGTAATCAAATACAAAAAAGAGGAATGAACTGTGGCAAACTGTAGTACATCAACAAATAAAACTAAATAATCACTGAAAAGAAGAACAAATGAACAATTGAACCGAAGGTCTTGTTTATTGACCTTAGTGCAGCTGAAGAATCACACACTGTAGCCAATAACTCCTGTTAATAAAACAGTATCCTCCACTATTCAAAAACATTTATTGTACAGAGGTTTATCAAACTATTTGACCTGGTGTGTTACCATTATTTAATACATTCAGTATAATTCTGTCTCTGTCAGTGATGTTAACTTACATTGCTGGCACAATTCACTGAGAATTTAGAGGCAGTAACAAAACCACAAGGACTGAGATGCAAAAATGTGTTGTCGGCTAGGTACTCTTAGTTGTGGGCTCTGGTTAGTTGCCTACCTTGCCTACTGGTAAAGTCTAGCCCTGCCTACAGCAGAGATGAGAAATTTCAACAGAAGGGACAATTAAAATTGATGTACTAGTCATCATTTTAATGATGATGATTATTAGGATTGCTGCAACAGTCACCTTCACCTTTTCTATTATCATTACTGGTACCTAGATAGCGGTGCTGTTTTATATGGCCATTAAATCTGAGCTGTGCACTATATATAGTTCCAGAAAAGATTCAGCAGCTCTGAGCAGTAAAAGCTACACCATGAGCTGTCTGTGTAAGGCTCCTGCACCTCATTTAAATAATATTCCAAACAATTCATGCTTAACCAGAACAGCACTTAACAAAAAGGGATACAGAGTAATTGTCCAATTAGAGGAAAAAATGTCAGAGGGACAGAGGGAAAATAGAGTGAAGATGGTTGGAGAGGGAGAGGAAAGTGAAAACAGATGAAAAGGATTTAAACCAATTAAAATGGTCTAAAAGCATCAGACTTGTTGTTGTACGTAACCGAACAGAATGGTCGCTTTCATCCTCTCAAGAGTATGCTTAAGAACAAATTTTATTTGCATCCACCAGTCACAGGTTGAGCATGGCGCAAAGCATAAAGCAGTGGAGAGCACCGCTACAACAAATACTGTTTTTCTTAACCGATGAATAAGAAGCAAAAATACTGCCATGAAGGAAGAGGAAAAAAGCTAAATAAAAATCATTACAGGCTTTGACAAGAATTGACTCATGAAGTTTAGCTAGCATGTGAAGTCACACAGGAAAAAATATAGCATGTACATCATGCTCTTAAACACCTATTTCTATAACTGGAATACACATTATATATGTTTCACTGCTGGGAAGCATTTTCAAATTAGATGATAGCACCAAATCTTCCCAATGCATGGAAATCCAGTCTGTGCCAGAAGTCTACATACAGTCATCTATTCAAAATAGAATAGAATAGAATAGAATAGAAAAATACTTTATTTGTCCCAGTCTGGGAAATTACTGCAAAACTATGAACTAGCATTTCTAATGACTGAGAAGAATGGATTCTCCTGCCTCAGACCATGTAACCATGTCTACTGATGACCGCGAGCACTAACGATTACTTGGAAACACAAAAGACACGAAGGCTAGTGTACTGTACAACCAAGTCCAACTTTACTACTTCAATGCATTTGAGATAGAGTAGGCAAAAAATAAATTGGACTGGGCTGCACCAGCTATTTCTATACCGTTGAGGAAGGTAATGTTTAAAAGTCCTTGTCAAACTCTTTGTAACTACAAGCTAGTTTTAAGCTAGTGATTTACTAAATCAGACTGTCATTAAAATTTATTTGCTGCTCCATAAAAATCTCTATCTAAACATCAGAGGGAGAGAATATTAGGAGACCAAGTTATAAGTTAAAATTACCTGAAAATCTTTTGTAAATGTATGTATGACTGTTGTATTTATATACACACATGGTGAAACGTGTGGTACTAACCATGCACTCACATCCTCTGTTGATATTCAGGAAAACAGGCCTCCAGCAACTTTCCAAAGAAATGCTTTTTACATGAATCAATTTCAAACACTTCCCTGACTCTGACCAAAAGCAATGCAGAGTAGTTTCAAGAATAGCCATTGTGAATAGCTGCAAATTGTTATGCTTACAACATCAGACTGCAGCTTGTTATCATGTAACTAATGATGTTAATTCCACCTGTGTTTCTCTTGCTGCTAGGATGAGTCAATATGTATGCTGTAACAGTTTCACTGTGCTCCTTTAGGAGATTCAAGTCGCAAAGGGCTTCATAGATGAGTCTTTTCAAGGAGACATTAAAAAATTCAGCTAAAAACCCTTAAGCTCTTGATCCACCATGCCACTATACTGCATATAATGTACTGCAGACATGCTGTGTTCTCTGTTAAAACGATCTGCAAGCCATCTTCAGACTTCCAAAACTTCAGGAACCCTGCTCTGCAACATGGCAGAGATGTGTTGCCATGCTGTAGAAGCATTTTGAAGAGATTCTTCTACAGATCAAACTGAACATTTTATTACATGGAAATTGGTTGTTTATTTAGCAAAATAATTTTCTTATTTCGTTTTGGTTGAATTGTGCATTTGCCTGACACATCAATGAATGCTTGAGCATGACATACCTCCTATAATGGCAACAGCAACAGCAAGCAACTAACCTCCTAACATGCTCGAATGGAATCCTACCGAAGGCAGATTCACTTCATATATCCAGAAAATTCACAGCAACCCCATGGGTCAAAGGTTGGTCACCAAGAGTGGGTCAGTGCCAGAGACTTATTAGATGTCAACAGTGTTCAAATCACATTGATTTCTAATCGTGATTAACGTCTTAATTTCAATGGCTGATAATTGTACCATAAACATTTTTGAAAAAAAAAGGCAAAAAACATAACATAGCATTCTGTTATCTCTAACAGTGTTTTCATCAGTAAAACACAAACCCATCGAAAGAAATGACAATGGATAATTACCAATCTGTTTGGCAGCCAGAAGGAGACTCTTCAGTTCCTGACTGGCAGCCTGCAGCTTAGCTTTGTCCTGTTCCTCAGTGCAGAAATGGACTATCTTCTGCCATGTCAGGCCATCTCTGGCAAACCACTCATGTCTCTTTCGACGCTTGGCCTAAATTGAGTCACAGGGAGAAACACAATTACATTTCAAGAAAACAAAAACAAAACTGCTCTAATAATCACAGGTATCTTTAATTGTGCACATAACCTTGGATAACAGCAGTGTACTTGCGACTTAGCCAAAAAAAATATACACCAAAGAAATAAGGTTTGCCAATATATGAGACAGATATTCTACAAAAACAGGATGTGGGGCACTCAGTTACTGATAAAATGTGGTTCTTTCTATATATTAATCGAGACAATGTAACTTTGCATCGCATATCTTGACCCCAAAACGATTCTGATAAATCGCTCTGATAAAACTCCAGATACATGCCAGAAGTTCTGATGCTCTAAGCTCTGAATACCATAACGTAACTCAATGGTATCATTTAGAAACACCTCAATGATTGTAAATGTTCGAGATCAAAACTCTACATACCTGTGGGTTTTGGCATATTTTCTAAGACTTGACAATGAGTATTTTAACTGTTCTCACAGGCTGAGACTTATATAGACTGGACTTACATAAACTAACATGAATGTGATAAATGTTGGAGTGCCCCTAAAAGAATTTTGCAATGTTTTTTGTTTTACAATAGACATTCCAAGTTGACTCATTTTGAAGAAAGACCTTGATGAAACTGAATGATTCGGACTCCCCATGAATAAATACTGGATTTTATGTTTTGTTTTTTTTCTAATGTACTGGTTTATTTCAAGCAGCTTCAACTAGTGTTGGTAGTATCTCGGATAACATTTTGTGTTGACATTTCAATAGTGTTCCAAGTTTTCACAAGATTCTTCTTTCAATGGTAAAAGCCATTGAAATTCTTTGATAATGAATCTATGCAGTATTATGTTATCCTCTGCCAGGTACAAGGAGGGACCCTTAACTTCTTAGCCCCCTCTTGTGCAAATACTACAGCTCACTGTAAATAAAATGTCAGTATAAGTATTGGCTTTCTCCCGAAATACATTTTTATCCTTTCTTTAAGCAAATACTCAACAACGAACAGACCAAATGACATCCCTAAAGAACTAGGGATGGGTATCATGGTATAGAGGTTTTGGTACTAGTGCCATTACAATGCCAGATTTTTTTATTTTTCTGATACCAATTTTTAATGTCTCAAAAGTGCAGTTACACATGTATCCTCAGCGTTTTTGCTGAAGTCAGGTTATTGAGCTTATCCTTCTCTTCAAAAAAAAAAAAAACCCTCTCATTAAAGCAGTGATGTAATAATCTGAGCAGGTCTAACAGTTCAGGTGCTCGGGTCAGGAGACACATTAACACAATGACTCCATTACAATCAGCGTCTCCGTGTCTTTTAAAACTAAGCATTTTAACACAAGCTCTGAGATAATCTCAGGGTGACTCCAACTATCATTTCTCTGGAGAAGCACTTTTTCTGCTTAGAGGATTTCTCTAGAGCTGAGTCAGGTAAAAGTGAACAGCTGAATACCACTCTCAAGTTCATTTTTAGTCTCAGGAGGACATATGTGATCTGAGAAACTAATGAAAAGTATAGATACTTTTGATTTTAAAACAGGAATGATGACAAGGATGTTGGATGTTGACAAGGTAATAAAATCACAAAAAAACAACAAATGAAACACAGCTAGAAATAGATGAAAGTCAACCAGTGGTAGGACTACTGACTAGTGGACAGAGAGCTGAACTGAACTGAACTCTTTCTCAGAAACAGTTTGATCTTCATACCATGCATCCCTCCATTATGTATACACCACTTCATCATCACTAGGGTCACGGGGGACTGGAGTCAGGGTGAAGGCAGGGGACACCCTGGACAGGTCACCAGTCTATCACAGGGCTACACTTAGAGACAGACAACCAAGCACACTCACATTCACACCTACGGACAATTTAGAATCACCAATTAACCTCAACATGTTGTTGGACCTCCCACAGTCCAAAGCTGGAAAACCCGGAGACAACATGCAAACTCCAAGCAGAAAGATCCTGGGTGTCCTAACCGGGACACAAACCAGGGATCTTCTAGCTGCAAGGATCTTAATAACATCCAACTAAATTTTAAAGCGATTTTTTTGTGACTATCAGGATGTTCTGCCACCTAGTTTGATTCCAGAGATGCTTCACATGCATACATAATGTAGTTTAATTCAAATGGATGAACATGAACACACACACATACACACACACACACATACACACACATACACACACCTACACACACGCACACACACGCACACACACACAACACATCCCAGCAGCAGCAATCAAAATAGAGCACTGGATTTATTTGTCGAAAGTGTGTCCAGGTCTGTTACTGTCAAGTTCTTGGAAACATCATACAGATTATATTTATCAACAGAAAATGTATAAACCACTATTGTGTGGCTACAGCTGTATTAAATGTTTCCATATTAAAGGATCCCATTGCTATGTGTGCAGTATGAAGAAGGGGCAAGCTGTAGAAAAAACACAGTTTCACTCACTGGCATCACAAACTTTGCTTCATGCAGTCATGCAGCTGCTTTCAGAGAAAAAAAGCTCTGACAAACCCACTGCACACTACCTGCTCAGCACTAACCAGCTGCAGTAGCGACCAGATGGGATAGTGGAGCATATAGCAGCTTAAAAGCTGAGAGGAGGAGAGGTGAGGAGATACAGCATAATTTAAAGAAATAAAATCTAATAACTTCTGACATTTAAGAATGCATAGTTACTTGAACCAACACATAGCCATGAAGAACAGAACATAAGAATTACAGTCAACAACAACGATCACCAATTAACAATCTGTAGTCAACTTGTTGCACTTTCCATTTTATGTCCCTGTATATGTCCATCAATACATTTCTTTCTACCTCTGCAGTACAATGACTTATTTTGACTTTTATATTTTAATTAATTGACATTACTTTGCAGAAACCTGTTTTCTCATTGACATAAAAAAGGTCAGATTTTGTAAATTCTTGTCCAAATTGCCAAATTATATTGATCACAATTCAACGTTGAAAAGCAATAAAAAAAATTTTAAAAAAAGAATTTAAAAAAGGAAAATTTCCACTGGGCATGGATACTTACAGCCACTACATCCTTGCCCAGGAGGATCGAGTCAAAACATGTAAACTGTTAGCTTAAAATGTGACTCAAGTGCAAATAACCTACAGTTCAATTTAAAAGTAAGCAGTAAGGTCATACAATTTTGAAACATCTATCTGACATTAAAATAATATTGCACATGGCTGTACTCACTCGTGTTGTATAATGTATTTAGAGTTTCAGTGTGTGAACTGGTGACACATGAAGGAGGTGGCTGATTGCTGGCTTTGGAAATGCATTAAATCCTAATGATACTAAATATTTAGAGAAAATGAAAATCACAAACAGGTGTGCTCTGTCTCTTTTTGTGTACTCTGCAGCTGATAATAAATCAAGTACTGAAACAGTTTTGTACGAGTCAAGCACTGCATGCACTCATACTACACATGTGCATCATATATTGGGTGTCGTGCACTAGACATCTGTGTCAGGTGTATTTTAATTGCCAACAGCCAGACTTCCATACACACTATTTCTTATATGTGATTAATGTCGCACGAGCAGCGCTCTGTGCTCTAAATCTGTGCTATCTGGTCTGAGACATACTCCAGTCATTTCTTACTATATGCGGCAACAATTCAGGTGTAAAGTGGGTAAATGTTAGCACTGTTAAGCCATCAGCCACTCAAAGTCCACTGGCCATATATGCTACAATAGAGCCAACAGATTATCTACCCACCAGTGGAATGGTTCAAAAACCTGTTGAAACAGAGTCTACATTCGTGTTGTTGGATATTCCATGTATTCTAAATGAAAATATGAATTTTTCCCTGTGAAGAGGGAGACAGCATTGGCTAAGAGCCATACAGTGTACAGTAGTGAAACCTGTGTCATCAAAGATAAAATACTTCTGTGGCACAGCCAACATGAAAAATCACATTAGTTGTTTGCTCAAAGAGTTGGATGAAAAACAACCCGTTGATGCCAAAGATGAAACTTTTCGATGAATGTCAAAGCAGCCTACACTTCTTAAGCTGCTAGAATACTTTGCTTCGGAAAAAATACTGACTTCATTTATGTGACTGTTGCCATGATGGATATTAGTGATTTAAATTTTAGGTCACACATTTAGGGGGCACTCCAGCAATTCAAACCAGTTATTTTAGGGATTTTTTTCCTGTTTATTAAAGAGGCTTTTTTTTTTTTTTTTAAGTCTAAGCAAATATCCATGCTGATAATGGTGTCGGCAGTGATATCAGCTGGTGTTAAAGATCTAACTAGTTGAGCATCACAAGCATCAAGTGACACACACTAGTTTCTGAGTAAAAAAAACAATGCCTGTATATTTCTTACTTGTAAATTAAGGGACCTCTGTTTGCATGCATAAGTGTGTGTGTGTGTGTGTGTGTTTCTTATTTTGGGTAAATCACTGAAACCCATGAGTCTTTGTCACAAAAGAAAATCGCAGAATTTTTTCTTTCATAGATTTCTAATAGATCTTCTGGAAATATGCCAAAATCTCTCAGGACAAAAATATTCAAACAGCAACTTGAATGATCAGTTTTGGTGATGTAGAAGGCTGAGTTAATCAAATTTTCTTAGATGCTGACTCTTCTGAGCCAACCTAAAGAGAGCCCCTTTGATACACTCATTGTACTCAGCCACAAATACTACAGTGGGAAAGTCTAAGGACCTCAGCAAAGATCAGAAAAAGAAAATCATTGATTTGAACAAGTCAAGTAAGTCACTTGAAGTCATTTCAAAACAGCTCGAATCCCCAAATCATCTGGGCAAATAATTATTTGTAAGTACAAAGTGCATGGTACACTTGTATCATTGTATCATTGTCTTGGAAGCAAGACGCGACCATACAGCTGGAGGAGATGACATTGTTCCGGGTGGACAGACAGACAGCTAGCTCTGAACTTTCCCAGAGCCGCTGCAGGAGCAGGACCTGAACATTGTCAGGGACTCCTCACACCTTCTCTATAAACTGTTTTAACTGCTGCCATCAGGCAAACGTTTCCAGAGCACTAAAGGAATGAACCTCCAGACTGATCAACAGCTTCATCCCACAAGCTGTCAGAATGCTGAACTGCTGATCTGGATATGCAAACACTTCTTTATTTAATTATTTTTAGTTATTGGATCCTGGAGAAATCCTCTCTCATCTTGCCTGTACTACTATTGTATGTACAGCAAAATGACAATAAATTTGACTTGATTTGATTTGATGTGAAGCTATCGGCTAGCAGACAGCCAACAGATTTTGTAAGTGTATCAATTCTGTGAGGGGGGCGGTCACAGTTACAAACAGAAGCTCATGGACAGCTCCCAAAAAGCACCTATTTGAAGTACAAATTGCCAAAGGACATAAAGCCAAATAGTAACATCGCTGTACGTATAGCTTCAACCCAACAGATTTTGTATATTTCTGAAAGACCTATAACAAATCTATGAAGGACCTATCATGCATGAAATTTTTTTATGACAAAGAAGCATGTGTTTCAATGATTCCATCATAAAAAAAAATATGTTAAAGGAGTCATTGGAAACTCAAGACTGACATGGCATACATAGTTTTTAAAAGTGTATAGAAACTTTAATTTACGACTGTGGTTTGACTGAGAGTGTGGGCCTTGATAATAAGAAAGTTGCAAATAGCAAACAGGGGGCTGAGCAATGGGCCCATTTTGAAAGGGACCTGCACCAGTCTGCACAGATTCTGCATCATGCAGGTGGGATGCCAGGTAATCTCCTGTGTATAGTATCTATCTACCAGTGTTTGCCCACACGCGGTCAGTCGCCCACAACCTTTACATTTTGTTCTGTTCAACTGGGGCAGTAAGCTCATGATAACTTGTAAGCAACGCATCCTGAATGTGCTCAGTAATAAATGTGTAAGTAAAGCCAACATTAGATCTTTCACATAAAAACAAAATATCAGAACTTTTGACGGTGTCATTGATTTCAGGTAACAAACACTTGACTCATCTGTGAAGATTCTCAGTCATCCAGGTCATGGTTATTCTCGTAGTTTAATCGTAGCAACTGGACTTGCTTGAGTTTCTGGAACCCTTTTCACTTCTCATCCAAGAGACTTCATTAGTTCTGACTGATTAGTTGGGAGTTCCAGATACTTATATCCTACAGAAGCCATAAACACTTGAGTTTCAGTTTTAACCAGGGGTTTGTTACTCTTCCCCCTCGTTATGCGAGTCGTTAGTACTTCCCCTGTTCGTTAAGGTATTTTGTGGGTTGATGTGAATTGGTTTCATCTTCCTGGGGAGAGTTTTTAGGACTGAATTATAAACAGGTGAGAGGTGATGGCCAGACCTCCACCTCTGTTGAGTGATGGTCTTTCCAGTTTGATATAGATGGCTTCTTTCACTCCTCTCTCAAACCATCTGTCCTCCCCGGCCAAAATCTGTACACCGTTGTCTTCAAAAGAGTGTCCTTTGTCCTTAGTGGCAGGGGAAGTACTAACGAATCGCATGTCAAGGGGGAGGAGCAACAAACCCCTAATTGAAACCGAAACTCAGGTGGTAATGGCTCCTTAAGGATATACGTATCTGGAACTCCCAAATAGTCAGTCAGAACTGATGAAGCCTCTTGGATGAGAGATGAAACATCTTCAAGAAACTCAAGCAAGTCCAGTTGCTACAATTAAACTGTGAGAAAAATCCCTTGATTCAATACTTGATTAACTTTATCCTACACATACACTTTTTTAGCACTATTTGTTGGGAAGGTGCTTTTAAAAACTGCATGGTTAAAATAAACTGTTTAAGGATAACGACACCAATATGTCTATCCACTGGATAAAGTGGGATTTGACAGGTTGGGGAGTCCAAAAATGCGGTATTGCAGCGCAGTAGGGAAAATGATGCGAATGTTTGCAAAAACCTGTATTGGCTTTATTCTCAACTGAAAAATAAAGGCTGGATTAACAGGCAAAACACACACATACCAATCTAACATGGCTAACTAACACAGACAAACACAGCAAACTAACAGCCTAAAAAATCGACTCAGACAAGACTTAAGTGAAAACCAAATCTTTATAGACACACAGGTGAGTGAAGTAAGACAGGTGAAACACATGACGATATCAGCTCAGGCGAGGGAAGTAAAACTAACTTCATCAACTACACAAGGAGAAAATATATTTCAAATTAAGACAGGCAAGACAAGATGTAACAATAAGGCAATCTAAATCATCCTTAAATTACACTGTGACAAAACTTTTCTAAAAAGAAATCCATGTGCTATGTAAGGGCTTTGAGAAAAGACACATGGTAACAGCAGCACATGCAGACAACTACATGGGCAGACCCTCAAACACACAAACCCTCACACATGTTACAGTCAAAAAAGTTCCCATATACATTTGTACTCTGACCTACCCCAAAACTCAAGCAGCTTAAGCAATGGTGGTGTACAAGTAAAATTAAGTATTTATCATGTTTTTATGGCTGGAACAAATGTTTATCCAACAAGGTTTATTGTCGCTACTAGCCGGAGTTCCCTTTAAGTTGGGATAACCATCCATCCATTATCAATACACCACTCAATCCTCACGAGGGTCGCAGGGAGCTGGAGCCTATCCCAACTAACTCAGGGTGAAGGCAGGGGACACCCTGGACAGGTCACCAGTCTGTCACAGGGCTACACCCAGAGACAGACAACCAAGCACACTCACATTCACACCTACGGACAATTCAGAATCACCAATTAACCTCAACATGTTTTTGGACTGTAGGAGGAAGCCGGAGAACCCGGAGAGAACCTTCGCTGCACAGGAAGAACATGCAAACACCACGCAGAGAGATTCCAGGTGTCCTCAATGGGACACGAACCGGTGACCCTCTAGCTGCAAGGCAACGGTGCTAACCACTGAGTCACCTTGCAGCCCATTGGGATAGCCAGGAACGTTTATTATAAAAGGCACATAACCTAAAGCTAGCTAGCCATTTTTAAATGTAAATTCTTCTTCTTGGCATGTTTGAATTGTTAAATATTACAAAACTTCACCATCAGTGTAAATTTAACTTAAATTTAACGTACTTTGGCTTAAAAGCCACTTGAAACTCTCACAGATACTCTGAGTCGATGAGTCAACACACATACTCTCATTCAAATGATAACACTGTTGCATGACTGACTCATAGATGTTGAGTGTTAAAGAAGGCAGGGCCAGCAGAGGGTGATTGTACCCTGATTTGCTGAGCATCTCAGTGCTGATGAGAGAGCTATGTAGGCTGTGCATGCGAAAATGATCTGTGGTCTGTGCTACTACCAGTTTGAATTGAATAATTTATTTATTCACCAAAGGTGGCGGAGCTCAGCTCCGGAGGGCTCCAGCCCACTTTAACCCATGTGTCTGTCAAGTTCAACATAAACTAGTTTTGTTATTTCCATCAAATCAAACGTAAGTCATAAAGCACCAGTGAGTGTATTCTACTACCATTGAGCGCCATTGTTGTCCAAAAACTAATAAAAATTCCTCAGTAAGCCACACTGCTGTACCAGGTACAGAACATATAATTTGGTATCCAGTCAATGGCAAAATTCTGGAAGCATACTATTTTTTCTATGCACTGTGAGTAGCGCAGCTATCATAGACACTGGTCATAAAAATAAATAAATGCAAAGCAACAACAAGTGAAGATGCAGCAGCAGGTCAGCTGAAACTTGTTGGGATAAAAAAAAAATACAAAGAGTTATGTATGAAGGTATTCTATGTCTGATGATCAGGGACAAGTTACAGATGATCAAATTCCACCAGAATGCAATGGCATCACAGAGTACCTGTAAGAAACTGAGGAAACATCTGACACTTATCTAGACAGCCCAAAGACACACACTGAGATCTGTATGCAGAATTCAAGGTGAGAGTTTGGGCTGTTACTTTCTATTCCCAAAACATCATAACAATGTTAACATCTTGAAATGTTACTGTTACCATTTCTGAACTGTAGCAATGCTACAAAAGCTAATGAGAGTCTGCTTAGGCTAACATTGCAATAACTCAATCTGTTTTATGCAGCTCTAGTGGTTTTCTTGATTTCCAACCTCAAGGATGAAATTTAATATTACTATAACTTTTAGTGAATGTTAAGTGATGGAACAGACATACAAGTAGAACAAAAAAACATGGTAGTTCTAACTGAACATAAAGATGGAGGATATTTTGATGGCTGACACATTATTGCCCAATCCCAAATATCGGTTAAAGGTCTGATGATAGTATTTCAGCCAATAATTACTGATAATATACATCATTGCTGCAAGAAGACTTAGACTCCCAAACACATACAGAGCGGACAGCAACATGGTGAGAACACAGCGCAGAGAATGAATCAGAACTAAAAGTATATTTAAGTCAACAACAAAGCTTATTTTTCCTGAGTGCAACAAAGTCAACAGTCTTTCAAGGATTCCCCATATTTAAATGGCTGCCCCCTCTGCATCCACAGCCAGGTTGTGTTGCCCAGACATTAGGAGCCCATTATACTGACAGTTAATTGTTTTGAACAACCAATTAACTCTAATTACATGTAACAGTTGGGCCAAATTAGTTATGGCTCCTAAAATCTTTTTGAATTTTTGTAAACTTTGAGGCCAACCAGTCCCTGATCTGTCAACCATAAATGCTCAGCTGAGTCTGTCCACATCAGTAGCAGATGAAGAAGGCCTTTATAAGCCATGGAGCTTAACCTGGAATCATTTCTACAGTGTATGAAGTGATGTAACTGTTTTTTGTAGCCTATATGAGCTTGTCAGTGAAGTGATATCAGTGCATCATCATTTCATGTTGTTTTACTTTGATTTTTGTCAATACATACTACACTTTATGAATTTCAATGTTTTATTATGACAACAACTCACGAACTGGCCTCACCTTCAGATCATCAAGATGTTCAGTAAAGTCCTCCTTCTTGCTGACATTGGAGAAGGAACGCAGCGCACCTGTCAGCCTTGGAGGAGACATGGTTTTCTGCTACCTTCCTCTTGGTTCTACAGTTCTTCAGTCTTCTGTGACAGACTGACAGGCAGACACAAACAGTACAATTAACTTTCATCACAGTTTCTGCAATGTACACATTATTAATGGTGCAGCTCGTCTTAAATACAGGCTGAACTCCGTTTAGAAAACATGTTAGTTTAAAGCTGCTTTTCTAAACGAGAATTACTCAGATAAGGTAGGGCTTTATTGTCAATTTAGAGTCATCGTTAGGAACCTCCGACAATAGCATAACAGCATAATCTGTACCTACGATAGAACAACATAACTGGGACATCTGCGATAAATTTATGTGGCTATGAGGAGTGCTTGATGAATAGAGTGAATGCCGAACTGGAGACGACCTTTTTCGATTCTCCTAAAATCAGAATGACTCCTATAACCAAATATATTGATGATATGGAATCAACGTTATTCTCTAAACGGAGCCAGAGCGCATGTGCTATATCAAACTTTCATTACTGTACAGTTATTAAAGTCCCCCCTTCTCTTTTCCAAACTTTAAACACAACAAAATGAAAACCAGACTCACAGACGTGTGTCTGTGTTGCTAGCTAAACTGAAGTTGTCAGCCTGGCTGCCACACGCCGTATCAGCTTTGGCTCTGTAAACAGTCTCAATATATATTTAGTGACAAATTAACCGTCTATTATTTATAAAATACAATTCACATATTAACTGCTATACCTTCTAACAACACCGTCAGGAACGGAAAGTTATACGCGTGTAAGTGGAATACCGGCAGATGTCAACAGAGCTTCCGTGTACGCTCGGAACTCTGGGTATTGTAGTTTAAATGACAAACACCCAACACAAGGACGAGCTGCAAAGACTACATTACCCATTTAAACTTGGGTGTGACGCGTCACAAAAGGTCTGCTTTTAACGCTGACCGGTGCACACCGAAACAACTGCAGGCGAAGTCAAAGCCTGACAAGTTGTTCGAATTGACCATCGTCACCTTGGCTCCTTGTCCGTTCTTCACCTACAAGACTAACTTGAATCAAGCGCCCCAGCATTAAATCTGTCTCATAAACATCGTTGTTAATACGTGTGTTTTGAAGACGCTGTACTTGTTCTTTTTAAGCTAAGAGTGTAAGAATCAGCTTTAAGATCAGAATCAGCTTTAATGGCCAAGAAAGTAACAACATACAAAGAATTTGGTTTCGGCTGCTGGCGTCACCCTAGGAATGAGCAGGAATAACAGAAATAGGAAAATAAAAAAATAAAGTAAAATAACTACAGAAAGAAAAGAAAAAAAATAAAATAATAATGATAAATAAAATAAGATATCAAATATATATACAAGAATTTATACATCTGAGCAGAAAATATACATGTACATTGGTTCAAAATTCCTAGGGAGCGCATTGCCAAGGCTCCCATCTGTGGCGGCATCTTGCTCAACTTATTTTCCTTCCTGGCTTGGTCGCCGCAACGGTGCTACTTTTTGCTCCGATGATGTTTTTATATTATTCTTCATATTTTGTACAGACTATATACTGCTCCTCGGCGGTAAAGTGAGCTGCTCTGCAGCCAGACTTATCCATAATCTTGATTGGTCAGATGCCGATAACGCTGCCCATTTTATGTGCATGCGCTCATACTCAGATCAGGCAACCCTGGGTTGACTTACCGAGTTGATAACCCGGTTATCCTGGGTGCGATTGTTAGGGTTAGTCAAGCTGGATCTCTGAAAGATATTCTGAGTATGTTGATCTCGCTTTGTAGTGAAGGCCCCAGGTCTTGTTGGCTGGCATGTATGACACTGGTGGGTAGCTTGTCTCGTAGAAGTCCATCTTCCGATTGGCTAAGTGAAAAAGGTAGACAAGCAATAGTGCAGGGATTTATATAGTGGACCGCAATGCATAGTTGCTATCCCTTGACTGGGCGGTGAGTGAGATGAATGAGTCTCAATCTGCTGAGGCAGAGTCTCCATGGGTTAACCAAAAGCAAATCCCATTAAAGGGTGGAGCGAAATTGAATACGAAATAGAAACAACAGCCATTGTCTGATGTGAACCACGTATCTCTAAAACATCAGCTTTTCATGAGTTCAAAAAACAGCAATGTTTTCATCTTTGTAACAATGCATTTTCCAGCTAATCTTCAAAGTTTTGTAATACTTTAACTTAAGAAATAAGGTGATTTTCTCAATCTATTAATGAAAACGTGATCCTTTAGTCTATTACCAACATTCATTATTACCACATTTGTACTAATAATTATCACACTGGCACATCAGTGTAATGCTCCACTAATCACAGGGTTCCTCATAAGATCCCCACTTCTTCTTGTTCACATGCTCAACTGTCTTTGGGTAAGACACTGATTTTGCTCTAAATGATCAGCACGTTGCATGGTAGCTCACTGGCATCAGTGTGTAAATGTGTGTGTAGATGATCCAGTGTAGCACATAGCAAAACAGAAGTAACAAACATGGTAACATAAGTCAGTGGTTTTGATGAACTGAAAGAAAACCTTTGCATGCTGTATAAAGCAGCTGTAGACAATTCATTTAATTAAGTTCAACTGTTTTAGCATCACTTCCTGTTTTAATCGCATCAAGTATTATCTATTTTGTTTTTTAAAGCATCCACTGGCACCACTGGATGTCTGCTGCATGTATTTTGTTTTACAACTTACAATTTACAACCTAACTAACCCTAACCCTACATTTATATATTCTTTTATCCAAAGCGACGTACATCTGAGATGAGATACACATTCATACACCAATGGTGACAGAGCTGTCGTGCAAGGTGTCTGCCACTGGGAGCAACTTGGGGTTCAGTGTCTTGCCCAAGGACACTTCAGCTGTGGCGGGACAGGGGATCGAATCGCCAGCCTTGTGATTCGACCACCTGAGCCACAGCCATCTGTTTTCTCTTGTTGACAGACTCATCAGGTTGCTGCTAGGCAATGTATTCCCCGCAAAATACAAACAGCTCACTTTGTGTTGCTTCATCTGAATGGACTTTCCATCTGTGCACCAAGCATTGAGAACCAATATACCACACAGATGGACAAAGCCTGTTTCAAAGTAAACTGTTGGAGTGCTGTGGAGCCTCAAAAGGTCATGGTGGGGAGTTTTTTTCTGCATTTGTATTGCCTGAATATATTTTATTTTACCTCAGAATAAATTTTGCATTTCTTCTGAGCCACAGTTGATGTTCTGTGAGATACGACAGATAGGACAAGTGATGTGATACTTTATATAGTGCGTGTTGTGCTCCTTACTTAATTTGCTTGGCTGATCTCTGACGGCATCCAGCTGCTGCATCCAGCAGCGCCAATGCAACACGCAGCCAGCACAACTATCACTGCACACTTATCACTTCATGCAGTCAGTACTGCACACATTGAAAACTAAGATGTCCCCGCTAGAATCATAAGAATCAAAGCATAGCCGTAAGTACAGCCACAGTCACTGTTGTCACCCCCAGACTGCAGTCATAATCTAAACTACAGTCTGTCTCAATCTGCCTCAGCAACAGTCAGTGAAAGTGAAGTCCTTTAGATATGTATCTTTTTGCAAAGGTGCAGACTTCTGGGCAGATGGAGCTGAGGATTCACTGACTCTCACAGTGGTTACAGCCATACTACTGCATAATACGCGATACTGTGTCATAATACAGCTAAACCATTCTATACGGATAGGAGGAGATATAAATGTTAATGCCAGTGTAAATACAAGTTTTGCAAGGAATGCAAAACTTGTTGAAACCTTATTGCAAAAATAGTCTCGAAAAAAAAAAAGAAAATTCCATTGTGACCTTTGAGAGTGCTGCTCAATGTGCGCCCACAAAATTAGGACCCTGGCTCTCAATGTTTAACAGGAAGACTGTTGTAATTTTTTCTGAGCTCCAAAGTGATGAACTCCATTGACTATAATAGCTCCATTGCCTTTTCTCCAACCCCACCATCAGGACAACCTTTAACATTTTAGCCTCACTGGTGTATCTTTAAGAACAGTAAATTAGTTAGTAGATTGTGTTTACTTTAACTATATCTCCATACTCGTACATATAATGATCACTGCAGATTCTAGGGACTGTCAGTAGAGCTTCAGTCTTGTCTTCTGTTTTTATTATGTCTTTAGTTTTAGTCATCTGAAAAGTTAATATTTTTCTATGGAAATAACAGAAATGAAGCATGTTTAAGACTCCTGCTGCATATCCATTGTATTTTCCCACACACACAGTGATGGTAAAAGCAGCTTGTCATGTGCATTCAATCAGACAACCTCATTGTAATTCATAACTCACCTGCTGTAACTTTAACGTATGAAGAAGGAATATCTTCCACTCTTTCATCTCTATCGCTTTATTACCCCTCTGCCACCCCCATGCACGAGTGGTGTCCACTAATATCTGGCCACGCTGCAGTAAGAATGATTCACCGACATTTTCTCTCCTTCTCTCCATCTGCCTCTCTCTCTTTCTGTATTACTGACAAACACGCACAAAAAACACAACAAAAACAACACACACTCACACATGCACACACACTGTCCCTGAGACCACACCAAAGGGCAGGGCTTGTAAAATACAATGCATCAGTTTGAGTTTTATTTATGTGAAAATCTCATGTTTGACTTGTCATCCCTGATATTGTTGTATCCAACATAAACCACGTTCAAAGTTAATATTCTGTGGATGACATTACCACGGGCAAAGACAAAGAAATATGAACCAAACTGCAAAACAAAAAGACATCAGATCTATGTAGCAAACAGATGTCATGTGTGCAGGCTCAACAATTAGTTAACAAATAGACATAATTCTGTTTTAAATGCCGATGAGATTTATTCTGCATTAGGTTTTGGTATAATATATTTGCATGTTATGATGCTGACAATTTTTCATACTTAATAATTCTATTTTATTTTGCAATTATGCAAATACACGTCTAATCAGGAGTCTAAATTAAATTTGTCATTAGTGACTATAGCATACTTTGTCTAAAGACTGTTGTATTTTGAACTGTAAGAAAATGTTATTTTTCTATATATATTTTTTTTTATTATTATTTGTATCGAAAGATCATTTGTTTTCCTACAGAGAGCAGGATCAAACCTTACAGTGGTGCTATCTCTTGGTACACCACTGATTTGTCACCTCAAAATGCTCTCATTTGTTAGTGACCTTTCAATATTCATCCAGTGAGCTGATATTTCATAATGTAGCCTGAATGTGACCTGTTATTAAAAATGGTGGTTCATTGTGGGTTTTTTTCAGAATTGTGTACCACCACTTAAATGTCATGAAAAATGTCAGCATGAAGTCTCAAATTCTTGAGTCTCATTTATGAAGATAAAATACATTATACATTGTGCTGTAAATGGACTGCCCTTGCATAAGGATTTTCTACTGAGCAGGACAAAGTGCTTTACAAAGCCTTTCATTCATTTAATCACCACATACCAGTGGTGGCAAAGCAAGGTCCTTGTCATACCATCATGAGCAATTTGAGTTGAGTTTAACGCTTGCACAGGCAGCATTTTTTATTTATTTTTTTGTCGTCACTATACAAAACTTCCATAAAAATGTTTGAGCATATTGTATTTGAAGTGGTCTGAGTAGAAACTAGACTTCTGCACCTCTTCCTGGATCTGTTGTCAGACTGTAAAAAAATGTAGCCCATGTCTGGAAATTTTTGCCAATCACAAGTCTTTTGAGACCAGACCAGACCAGATCAGAAGAGAGAGTATAAACAACAATATCTGCATAATATAGTGCTTAATGGGTTAAGCACAGTTTCCTAAGAAGAGTC